TGTGTGTGTGTGTGTGTGTGTGTGTGTGTGTATGTGTGTGTGTGTGTGTGTGTGTGTGTGTATAAGAAAGAGAGAGAGGGAGAGAGGGAGGGAGGGAGAGAGAGAGAGAGAGAGAGAGAGAGAGAGAGAGAGAGAGAGAGAGAGAGAGAGGAGAGAGAATGTCTCATGCTTCTGGAGTAAGTTTTCAGCTACTACTCCAGTGCCATGCCTATACGATAGTCATGAACTCTGACCCTCTGTAACCACTGAACTAATGTTTTACTTTATAAGTTATCTTGGTCATGATGTCTTAGAATAACAATAGAAAATAACTAAGACAAGCCTACACACACACACACACCACAAGCACACATGTACACAAAAAGAATTACGTCAAAATATTATTACTGATGAGAGAAGGAGTAGTTAGGATGTACTAAAACTATTCTGTTGAGCTTCTGAATAAACAGAAAACTAAACGGAGAAGGAAGAGTCTGCCTCCAGAAACATCTTGTGGTTCTCGCCCCACCTTCACTTCCTCCGAGTGACTCCATGCTTATTACTTCTATTGCACAGTTAGTTTTTGACTGTATATTATCTGATTGTCAGATACTGGCAATGGCTTTGATGAGAAGTTTAGTACTTTATTACATATTCTGGGAATAATTATTATATCTGCATCTAAATTCCCCCAAGTATGGCATAAATTCCTCAGTCAGGGAAGTTACTAAATCTTTTTGTTCCCCTAAAAACATGTCCATCTGCACACACATACCCACATACACACATACTATCTATCAACACAGCTGCATGCAATAAGGACCATGCTCAATAAAGACCAAGAAACCTGCCCCTTATACAAAAAAAAGTAATTAGACAGAGAATCACTTCCTTAAAAGGAGAGACAGGAAAAAGGGGAGATCTCCAGGAGGGAGATGAGAGGGTAACAGGGGCAAATATGATCACAATACTCTGTATGAAATTGTTTTTTAAAAAACAATGCTAAGCCTTTCAGAAAGATTAAAGCATAAACTCAATAAATAAATAGTTAGTATGAGATAATGTTCCTTATCTACTTTAATTGGTGTGTGTGTGTGTGTGTGTGTGTGCGTCTACACATGTAAAACTTCACTGAAGTGTGTGTTCATTGCATATTTTGGTGTGTGAATTATATTACAATAAAAAATGAAGTTTTAAAAGAAGTTAGACATAATATTCAACACAGTCTCCATGCAACTGAAGAACCCACAAACACTCTGGAGACTCCCAGTGTCTTGGGGTATGTCTTTCCAATGCATTCTCTTTAATTTTTTAATCAATTTACCTAACATTTTTGAACACCATCTTCAGGCTCCAGCAAAAAAAATAAAAGAATCTAACAAATCAGTCTTAGTTCCAATGAAAACAGGAAATTCTGGCTCAACAAAGTAACATCCACAGTGGAAGATCAAAGTACACAGAGCCTAAACCCTCTGGAGGCCCAGATAACCCTCAACAGGCAAGAATGATCCTGTAGATATTGTGTAAGGAACTGCCATGGTTGCAGGAAGCCTAGCCAGAACCCCAGCAGTGGTTTTTCTTACAGAAACCCTCAGCTGAGACAGAAAATTAAAGAAAAAATTTGCAATGGGACACAGCTCAGACATGGACCCTGAGCCCTTCTCTCTCTGGAAGATGACAGATGAGCAGACAAAAGGGGGAGCAAGTCTTCACTAGGAGCCAACTGGTCTTTCCACAGGCAAGCCTGGGTAGGGATGGCTTTTAGCCTCAAAGAGACCCACAAGAGAGAGAAAGAGCACACTGATAGCAATTTAGGGTCTCAAGAGAGAGGAGAATCTGTTTCCCAAAAAAAATTGTTTTTATACTGGAGAAGAAGACAGGTTTGGGAGTGAACAGCAAGGAGGTAAGAGATGCATGCAGAAGGGCAAGGAGAAAAGTGGGAATTTCTTCCCTGACACGTAGAAAATGAACAGAGAAGGCAAAGAACCCAAGAAAGGATCTGCTCACCCCAGGACAGTTCCTGGAAATGTTACTTCCAGAGACAGCTCAGCCAGATACCACGAAGAACCTCACCAGGGAGAAGCTGAGCCACACGGAACCTGGGAGGGTCCCTGTCTGCAGTCAAGGCGCGCTCCCACTAAGCCAGAGCAGGCTGTCCACCTTGGAAGGGAGAAATCCTTCCATTTTGCTGAAGCCATGGGATAACTTTGTGTATTAGGGGGTAGGAAGACACAGATGTCATAGGCAGGAATGAAGGTATTCTAGAGACACGTGTGCCCCTCCCTCCAGCTGTCTAGTTGCTGAAACAATGGACTCCAAGATCCTGGAATTTCCCCGGGAGACTCCTGCTGGGGAAGGAAAAGGCTGGGAGCCTGGTGTCTGAAAGATGGAACATTGACTCCCAGAGAGAGATTTCACGTGTTCTGATGACTTGTCTCCTTGAATGAGAGACTAGAGCAGAGGCTAGGATGACAGGGGAGTGGGGAACCACACCTTGACCAGGAATGCTGTTATACATAACTCTTACTTAAGCCTAATCCTTATGCCAAGACCCCAAAGGTAGACTTGGGTGACAAGGACTGGACCTCTTTGTTTCTCTTACTAATGTAGCACACTGAATAAACCACCTCCCACTTTCACTAGGAGCTTTATTTAATTGACAGTTGGAAACAAGTAGCCAATCTTGGTTTGTTATGGCTACCAAGGCCCAGATTTTCACCCTAATGACCAGCAACAAGGAGGGTAGGACATCTTCACGGCCAGGTGTTGTGGGCTTAAGTCAATATGTCCCTGGCCACAAATAACCAACTTCTCTAGGCCCCTGCTTAAGAAAATATCCAGGATTTTAAACACAATGATGTTTGGAAGAGAATAAAGATGGCTATGTTAAAAAAAAAGTCATTTCCTGGTTCACTATAGGAAAGTGTGTTATTAAAAAATTCTGGAAAGGGGTGGAGCAGTTAAGAGCACTAGCTGTTCTTCCAGAGGGTTCCATTCCCAGCACCCACATGACAGCTCACATATGTCTGTGACTCCAGCTCCAAGAGTTCTGACACTTTCACAAAGATACACATGCAGGCAAAACACCAATTATATAAGATAAAAATAAATGATAATTTTTAAAAAGAGATTCTGGGGCTAGAGAGATGGCTCAGGGGTTAAGAGCACTGACTGCTCTTCCAGAGGTCCTGAGTTCAATTTCCAGCAACTACATAGTGACTCTCAACCATCTGTAATGGGACCCAAAGCAGTCTTCTGGTGGGTCTGAAGACAGCTACAGGGTACTCAGATACATACGATAAATATTTTTAAAAGAGAGAGAGATTCTGGAGAACAGTATCTTCCTTAGCTTCCTCAGTGCCTCAGTTTTCTCATCTCCAAAATGGGGTTATTGTGATCATCTGTCTTATGACAATTAATTAAAAATATAAAAAGTGCTCGCACAAACACCTACAACAAAGCAAACGCTCAAATACTGTTAATTCTTATGTTGTTGATTGTGATTACTAGATTACCCTGAGTACCATTCCCAGTGCCACATATCTTCCCAACCCCCACCCTTTAACAGTCCCAGCAGTAGAAAAATAAAATTTTCTGTTGTCTGGGACATAGTAGTTCCCTCTTACTTCAAGAACTCAAGAAGACACCAACCATGACTGTATGGTCATTGAAGAGATTACCCATCCACACCCGCGCCCAGACAGAAGTAGATTTGTCTTCTACTACTTAAACCCTTGTACAAAAACTGTGAAAAGGAGACCCCAGGCCCTTAGGCAGCTAGCCCACGATGCAGTAACTGCAACGTACCACCAGGGAGCAGCAGAGCCCAGCCCTGGGCTGTTTCCTCTACAGGAGCAATTAATTTGTTCTCGGTTTCCTTAGTGCATTCGCTCCTGGCTGCAATAATCACGCTTGTTGTTGATTACCCAGCCTATCAACGAGTGCCCTGCTCCACATCCGTTGGGCTGTAGGGCTTCTCTGCCTGCCTTGGAGCCGTCTTAGCCCCGCCCCCGCTACTCAGCCAACCCTGGGTGGGGAGGAGCGTCACGGGGCGGGTCTGAGAGACTACGAGGTCCGCTAGGGCAAGTGCTGAGCAGGGAGGGGGGGTGACCCGATCGCTCGACAGAGTAGGAAAGGCCAGCCTCGCCCTGGGTGCCCCCCCCCACAATGGGCATACAGCCCCCCAACTTCTCCTGGGTGCTCCCGGGACGGCTGGCCGGGCTGGCGTTGCCGCGGCTGCCCGCGCACTACCAGTTCCTGCTGGACCTGGGCGTGCGACACCTGGTGTCCCTGACGGAGCGCGGACCCCCTCACAGTGACACCTGTCCCGGCCTCACGCTACACCGACTGCGCATCCCTGACTTTTGCCCGCCGTCCCCGGAACAGATCGACCAGTTTGTGAAGATCGTCGACGAGGCCAATGCCCGGGGCGAGGTCAGCGCGTTCTTGAGCCAAAGCGAGAGGGCGGGGCCTAGAAGGAAATGAGTGGGCGGGGCCGGGGGGCTGAAGTCTGAAAGGAGTGGGAGAGTCTGGAGGTTGGCAGAAGAGGGGGATGACAGGGCTAAGTGGGGTGGGAGATAGATGGACCCACCCCCTACATAGAGTCAACTGTGGTGCTAGGAGAGATGATGTCAAGTAGGCTGGAGATAGAGGACTGTCAGACGAGATACTTCCAGGAGTCCAGGGAGCGCCGAAGTCAGATGGAAGCGGTTCAAAACCCATTTACTAGAGGTCCATATGTCACAGAGACACACTTGTAATTTTAAATTTTACTAGCGGCTACGCTTTAAAAAAAAAAAAAGCTGAAAAAGAAGCAAGTGAAGTTAATTTTGTACTAATCCAGTAAGTCAAAGATAGTATTTCAACATAGAATCAATATGAAACAAATTATTAATGAGGCATTTCCAGTCTTTTTCATGCTGCATCTTAAAAGTATTTGGCACCTCATCTCAGTTTGGACTGACACATTTCAGAAAAAATGGATGTACAGTACAAGCCAGCACAGGATAGAGGACAGGAGATGCAGGCTGAGAGCCCAGCTTGGAACCAGCCATTTCAGAGGCTTGTCTTGTCCTAGTCATGTCTTGTCCTTTAAGGGCCTAAGACGTGTGGTGGGGACTAGGGAGTCCTGGGGAAGGCACTGGAGTCCACTCTATCAGTCTCTACTTCGCAGGCTGTCGGGGTGCACTGTGCCCTAGGCTTTGGCCGCACTGGCACCATGCTGGCCTGCTACCTGGTAAAGGAGAGGGGTTTGGCCGCAGGAGATGCCATTGCTGAGATTCGGCGCCTGCGACCAGGATCCATTGAGACGTATGAACAAGAGAAGGCGGTCTTCCAGTTCTACCAGCGAACAAAATGAGGGATTCAGCAGCCTTGCCTTTCCCCCTCCCCCACTCCTGCTGTGTATAGAAAGTGTGTCCAGGGAGGAAGGGGAGTGGACTAAAGTACTGCATCCTTCAGCTCCCACTGGCTCCTATTGGTCAAAAGTAGTCCTTCCCCAAAACCATAACCTGGCTGTCCGGATGGGTGAGACCCCATGAAAATGAGGTAATAACTAATAAGAACTCATTACCGCTGTGCATGTACACAGCATCCCAGTACTTCAGCTCCCTGCAGCCCTGGGTGGGTGAAAAGACAAAAAACACCTCAGTTCTTTGGATTAGGTGGCTGGAGTTCAGAAAGGCCTGGGGCCACAGCTCTAGGAAACAGAAGGATGGGCCAGGACTTCAGCACACCCTTTGTCTCCTTGAAGATGATAGGATTCTAGGTGCTGTTCCCTGACCATATGTGAGAGACAAGAACTGGCCAGTGAAAGATCCATGTCCCTGGCCACACAGTCTCCAAGCGACCTCAGGAATCTGCACCCCCCACACCAGCAGTGCCCCATTGATATCACCCCTTATGAAGGGTCATCTGTCTTACCTGAGCTGCCTTTGTTCTTCTCAGGGTATAGAAGGCCTGCATATCATGCTCACAGATAAGGTTTCTCTCTGTCTCTCCCCCTCTCCCTCTCCCCTTCTCCTCCCCCTCTCTCTCCAGGGCTGGCCACCTCTTACCAGCCTCGGATGCACTCGGCTTATCTGTTGCCTCCAACCCCTATGTTGTCCCCAGTCTCAGACTAAGGAAGGCTGGAACTTAGTCTTGGTGGTTATAAATATTAAGTAATCAAATAAATAACTCTGGGACTCTGAATCTTGGCCATGTTTCTCAGGTGTTATCTCCTGCTGGACTCCATCCTGCTATGAGCACCACACTTTGGACTTTCTGAGCAATGAGCTAAGTGTCATACATGAGCCCGGTAGACTCTTTTCCATAATGGCAGTCTGAATTCGTGCCCTACCTTCTGCTATAATAGGCTGAGCTGAGAAAGGGAGAATCCATCCTGAGGTATACTCTGTGTCCCCGTGTGAACCAGGTGCTGTTAGAGGTGGAACTGACACAGTAATGTAAGTCATGATTCCTCTTCTCAGGAACCCTGCCTTCTGGAGAAGGGTAATGACAGTCCCTTCACATGTGATGTACACTAAAGGCTATTTCTACTATTCCAGACACCAGACAGACAGCCAAGAGTTCCCCTTCAGCCTCCAGCTCTCCTATCAAAGACTAGAGCTAGGCCTACACCAGCCCCTCCCCTGTACTTCCCCTGTCTTCCCTGATGCCCATAACTCAGCATTAGCCAGCTCACTCTTACACAAATGGCTTTTTTAAGCAAGAAATATAAGTGTGTCATCGAGAATCTTTTCTCTGTTTTGTCTGGGGGACCCATTCCTTAGCTGTCTCCTTGGGTCCTCTCTAGCCTGCCCAGGGGGCATATCAGCCAAAGACAAGAAACTCCAAAGTCCCAGGCATCCAGGCTGCAAGGAGGGAAAGGGGACAGACACACAGCATGAAACCCTCACCTTCCTCTAACCAAAAGCTTAGCCCCTCCCATGCCTGCCCCATGATGTAAACCAGACCAGCTACTACAGGAGTGTGCATGTCTGTGTGCATGTTTTCCTGAGGAGGGCATAACCCAGCAAAACAGAAAAGCCTGTTTCCTCAGCTCTTTTCTTTCACTGCCAGAGCTTACCCATACAGGAGGAGGTGAGGGCCTTGAAGCTGTGCCTGAGAGAGAGTTGTGTCTCCTTGCCAGTACTGAGCAGCTGTGCTGTGTGCCCCGTCCTCGACCTTTCTGCTGTCTGGTCCTCCCCATATCCTCTCTCTGCACTGCCCGAGCAGACTCTGCTCACCTTCCGCCCAAGGCTCCTTTGAAGGAGACAGAAAATTTTTCTAATCCCATTAAAGCCCTGTGCGCAGTTCCCGCCCCATAATTTAAGCAGGTCTCCTCTGCCTCAAGAGTTCCTTAGGGAAATAAACATATAATTACGTGCTTAAGGAAATCGCTTTTAAATAAGTAAGAGTTGACTTCAAATGAAAAGCTCTGCCCTTCTCCTTCAGTCTACCTTGAGGGGTTAGCCTGAAGCTCCATGTGTGCTCGTTTCTGCCCCCCAGAACTTGCACTTTCCCATCAGCCTTCCTTCTGATTTGTCTGCCATTGAAGGGCACTTATTAGCATTGGCCCATCCCCATGACATCCTATGCTGGTTCCAGGACTGCTCCTCCTCCATTTGAGAAGCCTAGTTACATTTGCACCAGACGAGGGCTTCTCACCCTTAGCACTCCTGACATTTTGAACCAGAGCTGGATATTCGGGGGTCACGGGGACTCTGTGCTGTAGGATGTTTAGCAGTGTCCCTGGTTTGTACGCATCAGATGCCAGCCACACAGCCCTCTAGTTATGACAGTCAAAGATGTCTCTAGAGACTGCCACATATTTCCAATAGGAATCTAACCTGCCCCACTGAGAGACTGCAACATATCAACATGCAGGTTTCGTTTTCTCTGGAAGAAGAGGAACAGATTGTGGATCTATAATATCATAATAGGGGATGTCATAATGTCATAATAGGGGAACAAGGACCAGTTCACATATTGCCACCTTTCCAACCAATGTCTGGAAGTCAAGTTATTTCCAGGTTCTCAACACTTTCCAAGCTTGTTTTCCAGCAAGGTCTTAAACACCACTAACTTTCTTTATTCAGAAGGATTACTTTCCCAATGAGTTGCTGATAACCATACTTGAAACAGCTTCCACCCTGGGTCAGGCTTGGTTTCTGTGCCTGTGATAAACATGACTGTCTTGGGGTTTTATTGCTGTGAATAGACACCATGACCACAGCAACTCTTATAAAAGAAAACATGTAGTTAGGCTGGCTTACAGTTCAGAGGTTTAGTTCATTATCACCAAGGCGAGAAACATCGCGGCATGAAGGCAGACATGGTGCTGAAGAAGGAGCTGAGAGTTCTATATCTGGATCTGAAGGCAACAGGGATAGAGAGCGAACACTGGGTCTGGCTTGAGCTCCTGAAACCTCAAAGCCCACCCCTAGTGCCACACTTCCTCCAACAAGGCCACACCCACTCCAATGAGGACACACCTCCTAATAGTGCCACTCCCTGTGAGCCTATGGGGGCTATTTTCCACAATAAGCAAATGTGATTTGGAAAGGAAAGAGTCTGTTTTCATTGTATTTCCAGCTGACCATCCATCGTGGAGGGAAGCCAAGGCAAGAACTGGAGGCAGGAACTGGAGACCACGAAGGAACCCTGCTGATGGACTTGCCCTCTGTGATTATCTCAGCCTGTTTTCTCATAGAACCCAAAGACATCTGCCCAGGAATGACACCGCCCACAGTGGGCTGGGCTCTCCCACATCAACCAGCAATCAAGAAATATGCCCCCACAGAGGTACCCACAGCCCAGTCTGATACAAGTAGTTCCTCAGTTGAGGGTCACTGTGCCCAAGTCGACAAAGTAACAGGCATCCTACCCTAATATTGAGCAATACCTTACAAAGGGCAGTTCACTCTTGCTCTTCCCCTGCCTGAGGGGGTCCACCCCACTCTACACCCTCTCACCTCACCAAAGTCACTTTCCCTCGGGGCAATAATGAGCATATTTCTGGGACAGAGAATTGATCTAAATGATAGATCCTTTCTCAGCATGAGCTGCACACATTTGCCATCCCTCATATGCAAGCTCCTGCTATCCCTGTCTTATCATTCTTTTTTCTGAGAAGGAAACTAATTTGGTCTCACAGGAATTTTTGTCACAAAACAATGACAGTTACCACAAATGCATTTCATGGTTTGTCATACCCGTACTTTGCTTGCTTATATAAGCATAATTGCCATCATTTATGAAGCACTTACCATGTAGCTGGTGGTTTACATATACCTTGCCTTATGTAATTTTATCATTACAACTCTGCAAGTCAAGTGATTTCTCCTTTCTACAGGAGTTGAGATAGAGAAAAGGGAATAATGTACCAAAAATCACACTTGTCTTAGTTACTTGTCTCATTCCTGAGACTGCTTACCTGACCAGAAGCAACTTAAGGGGGGAAGGTTTTGCTTTGGCTTACAGTTCAAAGGGATACAGTCCATATGGTGAAAGCAAGCAAGGCAGAAAGAGTGTAAAGTGGCTGGAAGCTGAGAGGACATGAGGAAGGTACTGAGCTGCTAAACCTCACGCTCCACCCCTATGGACTCACTTCCTCCAGTTAGGCTCTACTTCCTGAAGATTCTACAACCTTCCAAAACAGCTCTATCAACTGGGGACCAAGCATTCAGACACAGGAGCTTATGGGTGAGCACAGGGTGGAAGAGGGGCATCACAAATTCAAACCATTTGTTTTGAAGAAGCTAAGATGTACACTCAAGTCAGCTATGTTATCCCCAAAGTCCATAGCTGGTGTTTCTTTCACCAAATACCCTCCTTGCAAGACTTCCCATGACTCTAGAGACATGAGAAAGTCTGTCTGCATTTCAGAGCTCAGCCCTACTGATTGTCTTACCCACCTGTCCCCTAGGACCCATTTCTTCCTCCTAGGTGGCCAGAGAATAATTTTGCACCTAAACACAATAGATTACACCGTAATTATGTGTTACACTTTACTATGTGGCCTGGGGCTGGCACAATTTCTCAGTAGGTATAATCATCTGCTGTCAAGGCTGACGACCTGAGTTCAATTCCCTAGGCCCACATACTGAAAGGAGAAAACCTGTTCCCACATGTTGTCCTCTGACCTACAGACAGACAGACAGACAGACAGACAGACAGACAGATAAAATTTTAATAAACTAAAAATCAAATGTGGCCTGAGCATTGGACCAAGTACCAGCAAAGTATTTCTGTCACATCTGTCTCTAACTCAAGGTACATAGATGCAGATGTCCTCTCCCAGGATGACAGTCCTGGGGCTTATGTGGCTGGCATGGAGCCCTCAAAAATGGCTTTTTATGTTTGATGATTTATTGAAAATCCTGCTACTCTTTATGGTTTTGTTGTTTGACCCCTTAATGTATGCCAGGCCCCATGCCAAGTACTTTACAGACATTATCTCATTCACTCTTCAAGAAGAAATTGTATAAAACCCCACATGCAAAGTGCTACCAGAATAACCAATACACAGTGAGCACACTAACACCCAGAGAGTTTAAGTACTGAGCCCCAAGTCACACCGTACAATGAGGCGGAAGCCTGCAGTTAGCAATTAACCACCTTCCCTTTCATAGATCAGAGCAGGGAGGCGGTTGTAATTAGAAAAAAGAAGAAATAGAAGGACCTTGCCCAGAATTGAGGCATTTGATCTCCCGGGCCATCTGTGAAACCCTCTGATCACTAGACTTCAGGATCATTGCTGTCCAACTAATGTCCACACTGGCCGTTGTCATCTCAGACAGACTTCTGCCTCAAGCCTCAAAAAGGCATCAAAACTGAAGTCCCCCATTGATTGAATAATTATTTACATAAGCACTTCTCCCCCCACTATGATAGCCAACATTTTCTAGCTGTTACAGATTCAAGGCACACTTTTAAGAAGGCAGCATGCTCGTCCAAGCAAACAGAAATTTGAGAAACACTTTGGTGCACACCTATCCCTGAAATTGATGCCTTATTTGCAGCCTTGATAAGGGACTCCTTTGTGCCAATAAATTGCTTAAGTTGCTGCAACCACCCCCTCGCCCTATTTCTCCCTTGACTTACTCTGCTACTACGGATATGTGATCACGGAACAAATTAGCAATACCACCTCGGAATTTTCAATGTGTAGTAGCATCGAATATGACAAACAGTTCTGGGATTTGTTT